GGGAGGAAGAGGAGGGGAAGGGGGGAAGAAGAAGGGAGGAAGAGGAGGGGAAGGGAGGAAGAAGAGGGGAAAAGGAGGGAGAAAGGGAAGAGAGGGGAGGAGATGACGAGGGGAAGAGAGGGGGAGAGGAGAAGGGGAGAGGAGGTGAGGGAGAGGAGGAGAGAGAGGAGAGGAGGGGGAGAGAAGGGAGAGGAGAAGGGGAGAGTAGAGAAGAAGGGAGGAAGAGGAGGGGAAGGGAGGAAGAGGAGGGGAAGGGAGGAAGAAGAAGGGAGGAAAAGGAGAGGAAGGGAAGAGAAGAGAGGAGGGGAAAAGGAGGGAGAAAGGGAAGAGAGGGGAGGAGATGACGAGGGGAGGGGAAGAGAGGGGGAGAGGAGAAGGGGAGAGTAGAGAAGAAGAGAGGAGGGGGGGGAGGAGGGGAAGGGAGAAAGAGCAAAGGAGGGGAAGGGAGGAAGAGGAGGGGAAGGGAAGAGGAGGGGAAGGGAGGAAGAAGAGGGGAAAAGGAGGGAGAAGGGGAGAGTAGAGAAGAGAGGAGAGGAGGGAAAGGGTGGAAGAGGATAGGAGGGGAGAGTAGTGAAGAGAGGAGGGGCAGAGGGGTGGGGGTGTCACCTATATGTTTTAGTGTAAAAAAATGTACATAGTGCAAATTCTTATTTTGCCAAAATTTACATAAAAATCAGTATTTTGCGGAACTTTGTGGAAATATGAGCAGCACGGCCCGGAGCAGCTTTATAAACAGATCTAATTGTCAGAAATATTCATTTTTATGAATAAATAAGCAGCTCTCGTAGTTTGTGAGGGTCTCGGGTCAGTTTCTGTATGAGCATCTCTCACATTTCGAGGGAAGGAGCCGTACTATATACCAGGCTGAGCTTCTTAAAGCAATAGTTCCCTTTCTGAGCGTCCAGCGTGTGGCGGTGGATCTGTCCACCGGCAGCGTACGGTCTGAAGGTGACCGCGGAGTGGTGTCGGGCGGAGGGGGGGAGGGCGGAGAGCTGGGTGCTGAGTCCGGCAAGTTTTGGATGATTTATCTCCGGCTTTTAGTTTGATGAGCAGAAGTCCGTCAATGCGGATCGTCCCTCCCGTGAGAGTGGAGGTGATAAATCGCTCTCTGACGGTGTATGGAGGGGCCGACGTATTCCCCGACCCAAAAACCGCGCCAAGTCACCCGCAGACCGCGCCGCGTAACCGCTGGGACTCCATTCATCCAGATCATGGCTGTGCGCTGTTGTGAGCAGGAGCCTCCACACACCTCCTCCAGACTGACACCAGCGTATCAAGGCATTCTGATATTTGCATAACTCCTCCCACGAGCCCGCCCACGGCTTGCATCGGGGCTGAGGGCTCTTGAGAGAAGTACGGTGGCAGGGTGCTGTGATGTTTTCAGGAAGCGATGTACAGCACCCTGCCGGCCCCTCCCACCAGCCATGATCTGCCTGCAATGCACAGAGACCCAGTGGTGACATCACAGAGTAAAAAATAAGGAATGTTATATAAATATGTCTTTATCACGGTGATGAGGGGGGGAGGAACCAGATTACACTTCAGCTTTAAATCGCCCATATTTACCAATGGTATGCCGGTCACCAACCTCCCCCCCCCCCCCACTC